CTTCTTCAGGTCTTTTTGTTTCATCCATAAGCATTTTCTTTTCTTCTCTTTCTTATTTCTTCCATTTCTTTCTTCTTCTCTTCCTTGTTTCATCAATAAGCTTTTCTCTTTCTTCTTCTCTTTCTTATTTCATCAATAAGATTTTCTTTTTTCTTTCTTCTTCTCTTCCTTCTTTTCATCAATAATCTTTTCTTTCTTTTCTTTTTCGTTTCATCATAGCTTTTCTTTCTTCAGAAATTTCATCAATAATCTTTTCTTTTTCTTCCTTCTTTCTTTCATCAATAATCTTTTTTTTCTTCTTCTCTTCTTTCTTTCATCAATAATCTTTTCTTTCTTCTTATCTTCCTTCTTTCATCAATAATCTTTATTTTTCTTCTTCTTTCTTTTCTTTCATCAATCTTCCTTTCATTTCTTCTTTCTTCTTCTTTCTTTCATCAATAATCTTTTCTTTTTCTTCTCCTTTCTTTCATCAATGGGCTTTTTTTCTTTTCTCTTCCTTCTTTCATCAATAATCTTTTCTTTCTTCTTCTCTTCTTTCTTAAATCAATAAGCTTTAAACCATTTCATCTCTTTTTTCTTTCATCAATAATCTTTTCTTTCTTCTTCTCTTCTTTCTTTCATCAATGCGCTTTTTCTTTTCTTTCTTCTTCTCTTCTTTCTTTCATCAATAATCTTTCTTTCTTCATCTCTTCTTTCTTTCATCAATAATTTTTTCTTTCTTCTTCTCTTCTTTCTTTCATCTTCTTTTTCTTCTCTTCTTTTCTTTCATCATTTTTCTTTCTTTTCTTTTCTTTTCATCAATAAGCTTTTCTTTTCTTTTCTTTCTTTCTTTCATCAATAAGCTTTTCTTTCTTCTCTCTTCTTTTCTTTCATCAATCTTTTTTTCTTCTTCTCTTCTTTCTTTTCATCAATAATCTTTCCTTTCTTCTTCTCTTTCTTTCGGTTTTTTTCATCAATAAGGCTTTTCTTTCTTCTTCTTTTCTTTCATCAATAAGCTTTTCTTTCTTCTTCTCTTCTTTCTTTCATCAATAATCTTTTCTTTCTTCTTCTCTTCTTTCTTTCATCAATAAGCTTTTCTTTCTTCTTCTCTTCTTTCTTTCATCAATAAGCTTTTCTTTCTTCTTCTCTTCTTTCTTTCATAAATCTTCTTTCTTTCATATTCTTCTTTCTCTTCTTTCCTTTCATCAATAAGCTTTTGAGTTTCTTCTTCTCTTCTTTTCTTTCATCAATGGTTTTTCTTTCTTCTTTCTTTTTCTTTTCTTTCTTTTCTTTCTTTCATTTCTTTTCTTTCTTCTTTTTTCTTTCATCAATAATATTTCTTTCTTCTTCTCTTCTTTCTTTCATCAATAACCTTTTTCTTTCTTCTTCTCTTCCTTCTTTCATCAATAAGCTTTTTTCTTTTCATGTCATCAATCTTTTCTTTTTTAAATAAATCTTTTCTTTCTTTCTTCTTATTTTTTTCTTTTTCATCAAATAATCTTTTCTTTCTTCTTCTCTTCTTCCTTTCATCAATAAGCTTTTCTTTCTTCTTCTCTTCTTTCTTTCATGAATAAGCTTTTCTTTTCTTCTTCTCTTCTTTCTTTCATCAATAATTTTTTTTCTTCTTCTCTTCTTTCTTTCATCAAAATTTTTTCTTTCTTCTTCTCTTCCTTCTTTCATCAATCTTCTCTTCTTTAATCTTTTTCTTTCTTCTTTCTTCTTTCTTTCATCAATAAGCTTTTCTTTCTTTTTAATTTTTCTTCTCTTCTTTTTTTTTTCATCAATAATCTTTTCTTTCTTCTTCTCTTCCTTCTTTTCATCAATAAGCTTTTCTTTTTCTTTTCAATATTTCCTTCTTTCATCAATAATTTTCCTTTTCTTCTCTTTTTCTTTCATCAATAATCTTTCCTTTCTTCTTCTTTCTTTCTTTCATCAATAAGCTTTTCTTTCTAATCTTCTTTTTTTCTTTCATCACCTTTTCTTTCTTCTTCTCTTTTTCTTTGAATTTCTTTTCTTTCTTCTTCTCTTCCTTTTTCATCAATAATCTTTTCTTTCTTCTTCTCTTTTTTCTTTCATCAATAAAGCTTTTCTTTCTTTTCTTTCTTCTTAAATCAATAATTTTTCTTTCTTCTTCTCTTCTTTCTTTCATCAATAATCTTTCCTTTCTTCTAAGTTATTCCTTCTCTTTCATCAATAAGTTTTCTTTCTTCTTCTCTTCGTTTCTTTCATCAATAATCTTTCTTTTCTTCTCTTCTCTTCCTTCTTTCATCAATAATCTTTTCTTTTCTTTTCTTCTTCTCTTTTTCTTTCATCAATAATCTTTTCTTTCTTCTTCTCTTCCTTCTTTCATCAATAAGCTTTTCTTTCTTCTTCTTTCTTTCTTTCTTTCTTTATTTCTTCTTCTCTTCTTCTTTTTCTTTTCTTTCTTCTTCTCTTCTTTTCTTTTCATCAATAATCTTTTCTTTCTTCTTCTCTGTTTTCTTTCATCAATTTTCTTTTCTTTCTTCTTCTCTTCCTTCTTTCATCAATAATCTTTCCTTTCTTCTTCTTCTATTCCTTCTTTCATCAATAAGTTTTTCTATTTTTCTTTCTTCTTCCTTCTTTCATCAATCTTGCTTTATATTCTTTCTTCTTTCTTTTTTCTTCTTTTTTTCATCAATAAGTTTTTTCTTCTTCTTCTTCTCTTCTTTCTTTCATCTTCTTTTCTTTCTTTTTCTTCTGTTTTTCTTTTCAATTGTTTTTTTCATCTTTTTCATTTCTTTTCTTTAATCAATTCTTTTTCTATTTCTTCTTTTCAATCTTTTCTTTTTCATCAATTCTTTTTCTCGGTTCTTCTCTTTCTTTCATCAATTGCTTTTTTTCTTTTCTTTTCTTGTTTTTTTCTTTTTTCTTTTCTTTTTTTTCTCTTCCTTCTTCAAAATCAAAATCTTTTTTTCTTTTCTTTCTTTCATCTTCTTTTCTTTCTTCAATGATCTTTTCTTTTTTCTGTTTCTTTTTTCTTCTTCTTTCCTTTATTTGGTAAATCTTTTCTTCTTCTTTTCTTCTCTTTTTCTTTCTTCCGGGCTTCTCTTTAGTTTTTCTTTCTCTTCTCTTCTTTCTTTCATCAATAAGCTTTTCTTTTCTTCTCTTCTTCTTCTCTTGCCTTTTCATCAATAATCTGGGTACCTTCTTCTCTTTTTCTTTCATCAATAATTTTTTTTCTTCTTTCTATCTTTTCTTCTTTAATCAATTTTTTTTATTTTTCTTCTTCTCTTCCTTCTTTCATCAATAATTTTTCCTTTCTTCTTTCTTCTTTCTTTTTCATCAAAAATCTTTCCTTTTTTCTTCTCTTCGTTTTCTTTCATCAATAGACTTTTTTCTTTTTTCTTTTTCTTTCATCCTTTTTTCTCTTTTCTTCTCTTCTTTTTTAATCAATTCATTTTTTTCTTTTCTCTTCTTTCTTTCATCAATTTCTTTTCTTTTTCTTTTCTTCCTTTTTCTTTCAATTTCTTCTTTTCTTTCATTCTTTCATCAATGTTTTTCTTTCTCCATTCTTTGAACAGTTTCTTCTTCTCTTCTTTCTTTCATCAATAATCTTTCTTCTTTTTTCTTCTCAATTCTTTCTTTCTTCAATTTAAGTTTTTTTCTTTTCTTTTCTTCTTCTTCCTTCTTTCTTTTCATTTGTTTATATTCTTGCCATCAATAAATTTTTTCTTCTTCTTTCTTCTTTCTTTCTTCTTCTTTCTTTTTTAATCAATAAGTTTCTTTTTTTTTTCAATTCTTTTTTTTTCTCCTTCTTATTTAATCTAAGCTTCTTTTTCTTCCTTCTTTCATCAATCTTCCCTTTCTTCTTTCTTCTTTCTTTCTTTAATTTTTCTTTTTTCTCAATTTCTTTTTCTTCTTTCTTCTTTCTTTCATCAATGTTCTTTCACTTCTTCTTTTCTAAAAAATCTTCTTTTTCTTCATCAATAAACAAAAAAATTCTTCTTCTCAGATTTATTTCATTTCTTTTTTTTTCTAGAAGAAAAACCAATTTTTTATTTAAATAATATAGATTTTCCCTTTTTCATATTAATAAGAAAAAATTCTTGAAACTTTTTTTCTTCTTCTCTTCTTTCTTTCATCAATAATCTTTTCTTTCTTCTTCTTCCTTCTTTCATTAAGTTCTTTTCTTTCTTCTTTCTTCTTTCTTTTTCATCAATAACCTTTTTCCTTTCTTCTCTTTCTTCCTTCTTTTTCATCAATATTCTTTAAAATTTATATAAAAAAACTAGTGTTTAGACATTCTTTCATCAATTTTCTCTTTTCTTTTTCTCTTCTTAAAATCAATAAGCTTTTCTTTTCTTTCTTCTTGGGACAGTTCTTTCTTTTCTTCAATGAATTTTGAAACTTTTTTCTTCTCTTTTTCATCAATACTCTTTTCTTTTTCTTCTCTTCTTTCTTTCATCAATAATCTTTTCTTTCTTTTTTCTTCCTTCTTTCATCAATACCCTTTTCTTCTCTTCTTCTCTTCTTTTTCTTTCATTCTTAATTTTCAATTTCTTTCTTCTCTTCCTTCTTTCATCAATAATCTTTCCTTTTATATATTTGTTCTTTCTTTTCAAATTCTTCTTTTCTTTCTTTCATCAATATTCTTTCCGAGATTTCTTTCTTCTAAAATAAGTTTTTTCTTCATTTTCAAAATAAAGCTTTTTTCTTTCTTCTCTTCCTTCTTTTCATCAATAATCTTTTTTTTTCAATTCTTTTCTTTCTCTATTTAATCATAAGTTTTTCTTTCTTCTTCTCTTCCTTCTTTCATCAACAAACTTTTTCTTTCTTCTTCTCTTTCTTCTTTCATCAATAATCTTTTCTTTTTCTTCTTCTTTTCTTTCTTCTTCTCTTCTTCTTTCATCAATAATTTTTTCTTTCTTCTTCTCTTTCTTCTTTCAAACACTTTTGGTTCTTTTTTCGTCAAAAGCTTTTTTAATTTTTCATTAATAAGCTTTTCTTTCTTCTTTAAGGTTCTTTCATCTTTTTTTCTTCTTCTTTTCAATGCCTTTTTCTTTCTTCTTCTCTTTTTTTTCATCAATAAGCTTTTTTCTTTTTCTTTCTTCTTTCTTCCCTTTCGTCAATAAGCTTTTTTTTTCTTTCTTCTTTCTTTCTCTTCCTTCTTTCATCAAATCAATATTTTTTTCTTCTTCTCTTCTTCTTTCATCAATCTTTTCTTTCTTCTTCTCTTGTTTAAATCAAAAAGCTTTTCTTTCTTTTATTTCCTTATTTTCATCAATAATCTTTTTCTTTCTTCTTCTCTTCCTTCTTTCATCAATAAGCTTTTTCTTTCTTCTTCTCTTCTTTCTTTCATCAATAATCTTTTTTTTTTTTCTTCTCTTTTCTTTGTTTCATCAATAAGTTTCTTTCTCTTCCTTATTTCATCAATAACCTTTCTTTTCCTTCTCTTTTCTTTCATAATTTTTTTTTTTTTTCTTTCTTTCTTTCTTCCTTTTTTTTTTTTTCTTTCTTCTTCTTTTTTTTTTCATCTTTCTTTTTCTCTTCTTTCTTTTCATCAATAATCTTTTTTTCATGATTTTCTTTCTTTTTTTTCATCAATAAGCTTTTCTTTCTTCTTCTCTTCTTTCTTTCATCAATAATCTTTCTTTCTTCATTTCTTCTTTCATCATCAATAATCTTTTTTCTTCTTCTTCTTCTTTCTTTTCTTTCTTTTTTCTTTTCTTTTTTTCTTCTTCCTTTCTTTCATCAATAACTTTTTTCTTTCTTCTTCTCTTCCTTCTTTCGACAATAAGGCTTTGTTTTTTTTTCTTCTCATTTCTTTTTCTTCTTTTTCTTTCTTCTTTCTTTCTTTTCATCAATAATTTCTTTTTCTTTTCTTCTTTCTCTTCTTTCTTTTCATCAATAATCTTTCTTTCTTCTTCTTTCTTTCTTTCATCAATAGCTTTTCTTTCTTTTCTTTCTTAATGTTTTTTTCCTTTCTTCTTCTTTTCTTTCTTTCATCAATAATTTTTTCTTTTCTTTTCTTTCTTTAATTGTCTTTTATTTCTTCTTCTCTTCCTTCTTTCATCAATAATCTTTCCTTTCTTCTTCTTTTCTTTCTTTCTTCCTTCTTTCATCAATAATCTTTCCTTTCTTCTTCTCTTCTTTCTTTCTCAATAAGCTTTTCTTTTTCTCTTCTAATCAATTTCTTTCTTTCTTTCTTTCTTTCTTTTCTTCTTTTTTCTTCTTTCATCAATAATTTTTCTTTCTTCTTCTCTTCTTTCTTTCATCAATAAGCTTTTCTTTCTTTTTCTCTAGCTTTTTTTTTTCTTTCTTTCATTATCAATCTTTCTTTAATCAAATCATTTCTTCTTTCTTCTTTTTTCTTTTCTTTCTTCTTTTTTCTTCTTTCTTTTCTTTCATCAATAATTTTTCTTTCTTCTTCTCTTCTTTTCTTTCATCAATAAGCTTTTTCTTTCTTCTTCTCTTCTTTCTTTCATCAATAATTCTTTCTTTCTTCTTCTCTTCTTTCTTTTCATCAATAACTTTTCTTTTTCTTTTTCTTTCTTTCTCAAAAGCTTAGATTTTGAAATCTTTCATCAATAATCTTTTCTTTCTTTTCTTTCTTCTTCTCTTCCTTCTTTCATCAATTAATCTTTTCTTTTTCTTCTCTTCCTTCTTTCATCAATAATCTTTCCTTTCTTCTTCTCTTCTTTCTTTCATCAATAAGTTTTCTTTCTTCTTCTCAGTTTCCTTTCTTCTTCTTTTTCAAATCAATAATCTTTTCTTTCTTCTTCTCTTCCTTCTTTCATCAATAATCTTTCCTTTCTTCTTCTCTTCTTTCTTTCATCAATCTTCTTTTCTTTCTTCTTCTCTTTTTTCTTTTCATCAATAATCTTTTCTTTTCTTCTTCTTTTCCTTCTTTCATCAATAATCTTTTCTTTCTTCTTCTCTTCTTTCTTTCATCAATAATCTCCTTCTTTCCTTCTTTTCTCTTCTTTTTCTTTCATCTTTATTCTTTCCTTTCTTCTTCTATTTTTCTTTCATCAATAATCTCTTTCTTTAATTTCTTCTTTTTCTTTCTTTTGTATCAATAATCTTTTTCTTTCTTCTTCTTTCATCAATCTTTTCTTTCTTCTTCTCTTCCTTCTTTCATCAATTCTTTTCTTTGAAAATTTCTTCTTCTTCTTTCTTTAATTTCAATAATCAGGTTTTTTTTTCTTTCTTCTATTAAATAAAGATTTTTTTCTTTCATCAATAATCTTTTTTTCTTCTTCTCTTCTTTCTTTCATCTTTTAAGCTTTTCTTTCTTCTTCTCTTTTCTTTCATCAATAATGCTTTTCTTTTCTTCTTCTCTTTCTTTTTTAATCATCTTAATTTTTTTTTCTTTCTTCTTCTTCTCTTCTTTCTTTCATCTTCTCTTTAACATTTTTCAAATTTTTTCTTCTTCTCTTCTTCCCCTTTTCATCAATGGGTGGTTTTTCTTTTTTCTTCTTCTTCTTCCTTCTTTCATCAATAACCCCTTTGTCTTGGATCCTATCAATAATAATCTTTTCCCCTTCTTCTTCCGTCCAATTTCCTTCTTTCATCGTTTCCCTTCTTCTCCAAACTTTATTTTCAAGAATTTTCACTTCCTATTCAATCTTTTTGGATTCTATCAATAAGTTTCTTTTTTCATTTCTTCTCTCTTCCTTCTTTTCATAAAAATCTTTTTCCCTTTCTTCTTCTTTCAATAATAATTTTTTTTTTCTTGTGGATTCATCAATAAGCTTTTCCTAAAAATAAATCTTTTTCCCCTTCTTCTCTTCTGTTCTTGCTTTATCAATAATAATCTTTCCCTTCTTGGTCTTCTTCCAATTCTTTCCATCAATAATCTCCCCCCCTTCTTCTTCTTTCTTATTTCCTGCTCAATAATCTTTTTTTCAGTCTTCTGTTTCTTCTCTATCAATAATCTTTTTTCCCCTTCTCAGTCTTCTTTCCTATCAATAATAATCTTTTTCCCCTTTCAGTCTTCTTTCTTCTCCTATCTCTCCTATTAATATTTTTCCCCTTCAATAATCTTTTTTCTTCTTCAATCTTTCTGGATTTCTTTTTCTTCTAATCTTCTGTTTGCTTGGATCCTATCAATAATAATCTTTTCCCCTTCTCAGTCTTCTGTTCTTCGGATCCTATTCAAGTCTTCTGTTTCTTGCTTGGATCCTCAATAATAATCTTTTTCCCTCAATGGTCTTCTTCCAATCTTTTTGGATCCTATCAATAATAATCTTTTTCCCTTCTCAGTCTTCTTTTGGATCCTATCAATAATAATCTTTTCCCTTCTCAGTCTTCTGTTCAATCTTTCTTGGATCCTATCAATAATCTTTTCCCCTTCTCAGTCTTCTTCCAATCTTTCTTGGATCCTATCAATAATAATCTTTTCCCTTCTCAGTCTTCGTTTCTTGCTTGGATCCTATCAATAATAATCTTTTTCCCCTTCTCAGTCTTCTGTCAATCTTTCTTGGATCCTATCAATAATAATCTTTTTCCCTTTTTTCTCATCAATAATAATCTTTTCCCTTCTCAGTCTTCTGTTCAATCTTTATTGGATCCTATCAATAATCTTTTCCCCTTCAGTCTTCTGTTCAATCTTGCTTGGATCCTATCAATAATAATCTTTTTCCCCTTCTCAGTCTTCTGTCCAATCTTGCTTGGATCCTATCAATAATCTTTTTCCCTATCTTCTCTTTCTTCTAGTCTTCTTCTTTCTTGGATCCTATCAATAATAATCTTTTCCCCTTCTCAGTCTTCTCTTCAATCTTGCTTGGATCCTATCAATAATAATCTTTTTCCCCTTCTCAGTCTTCTGTTCCAATCTTGCTTGGATCCTATCAATAATAACTCCAAACTTTTTTCCTTTCCCCTTCTCAGTCTTCCTTCTCAGTCTTCTTTTTGTTCAGTCTTCTTTCTTGGATCCTATCAATAATCTTTTTCCCTTCTCAGTCTTCTGTTCAATCTTGCTTGGATCCTATCAATAATAATCTTTTTCCCCTTCTCAGTCTTCTGTTCAATCTTGCTTGGATCCTATCAATAATAATCTTTTCCCCTTCTCAGTCTTCTGTTCAATCTTCTTGGATCCTATCAAATAATCTTTTTGCCCTTCTCAGTCTTCTGTTCAATCTTGCTTGGATCCTATCAATAATAATCTTTTTCCCCTTCTCAGTCTTCTGTTCAATCTTGCTTGGATCCTATCAATAATAATCTTTTTCCCCTTCTTAGTCTTCTGTCCAATCTTTCTTGGATCCTATCAATAATAATCTTTTTCCCCTTCTTAGTCTTCTGTTCAATCTTGCTTGGATCCTATCAATAATAATCTTTTTCCCCTTCTCAGTCTTCTGTCCAATCTTGCTTGGATCCTCATCATAATAATCTTTTCCCCCCTTCTCAGTCTTCTGTCCAATCTTTTTGGATCCTATCAATAATAATCTTTTCCCCTTCTCAGTCTTCTGTTCAATCTTGCTTGGATCCTATCAATAATAATCTTTTCCCCTTCTCAGTCTTCTGTCCAATCTTGCTTGGATCCTATCAATAATAATCTTTTTGCCCTTCTCAGTCTTCTGTTCAATCTTTCTTGGATCCTATCAATAATAATCTTTTCCCCTTCTCAGTCTTCTTCTCTGGATCCAATCAATAAATCTTTTTTCTTGGATCTTTCTTGGATCAATAATAATCTTTTCCCTTCTCAGTCTTCTGTTCAATCTTGCTTGGATCCTATCAATAATAATCTTTTTCCCTTCTCAGTCTTCTGTCCAATCTTTCTTGGATCCTATCAATAATAATCTTTTTCCTTCTCCAGTCTTCTCAGTCTTCTGATTCAATCTTTCCCCCCTTCTTGTCTTGGATCCTATCAATAATAATCTTTTTCCTTCTCAGTCTTCTGTTCAATCTTGCTTGGATCCTATCAATAATAATCTTTTTCCCTTCTTCTTCTGTCAATCTTGCTTGGATCCTATCAATAATAATCTTCTCAGTCTTCTGTTCAATCTTGCTTGGATCCTATCAATAATAATCTTTTCCCCTTCTCAGTCTTCTGTTCAATCTTTCTTGGATCCTATCAATAATAATCTTTTCCCCTTCTCAGTCTTCTGTTCAATCTTGCTTGGATCCTATCAATAATAATCTTTTCCCCTTCTCAGTCTTCTGTTCAATCTTGCTTGGATCCTATCAATAATAATCTTTTCCCCCTTCTCAGTCTTCTGTTCAATCTTACTTGGATCCTATCAATAATAATCTTTTTTCCCCTTCTCAGTCTTCTGTTCAATCCTATCAATAATAATCTTTTTCCCCCCTTCTCAGTCTTCTGTTCAATCTTTCTTGGATCCTATCAATAATAATCTTTTCCCCTTCTCAGTCTTCTGTTCAATCTTGCTTGGATCCTATCAATAATAATCTTTTTCCCTTCTCAGTCTTCTGTTCAATCTTGCTTGGATCCTATCAATAATAATCTTTTTTCCCCCCTTCTCAGTCTTCTGTTCAATCTTTGTCTTCTGGATCCTATCAATAATAAATCTTTTTCAATCTTTCTTGGATCCTATCAATAATAATCTTTCCCCTTCTCAGTCTTCTGTTCAATCTTGCTTGGATCCTATCAATAATAATTTTTCCCCTTCTCAGTCTTCTGTTCAATCTTGCTTGGATCCTATCAATAATAATCTTTTCCCCTTCTCAGTCTTCTGTCCAATCTTGCTTGGATCCTATCAATAATCTTTTCCCCTTCTCAGTCTTCTGTTCAATCTTGCTTGGATCCTATCAATAATAATCTTTTCCCCCTTCTCAGTCTTCTGTTCAATCTTCTTGGATCCTATCAATAATAATCTTTTCCCCTTCTCAGTCTTCTCTGTTCAATCTTTCTTGGATCCTATCAATAATAATCTTTTCCCTTCTCAGTCTTCTGTTCAATCTTGCTTGGATCCTATCAATAATAATTTTCCCCTTCTCAGTCTTCTGTTCAATCTTGCTTGGATCCTATCAATAATAATCTTTTCCCCTTCTCAGTCTTCTGTTCAATCTTGCTTGGATCCTATCAATAATAATCTTTTTCCCTTCTCAGTCTTCTGTTCAATCTTGCTTGGATCCTATCAATAATAATCTTTTCCCCTTCTCAGTCTTCTGTTCAATCTTTCTTGGATCCTATCAATAATAATCTTTTTCCCTTCTCAGTCTTCTGTTCAATCTTGCTTTGGATCCTATCAATAATAATCTTTTTCCCCTTCTCAGTCTTCTGTTCAATCTTGCTTGGATCCTATCAATAATAATCTTTTCCCCTTCTCAGTCTTCTGTTCAATCTTGCTTGGATCCTATCAATAATAATCTTTTCCCCTTCTCAGTCTTCTGTTCAATCTTTGCTTGGATCCTATCAATAATAATCTTTTTCCCCTTCTCAGTCTTCTGTTCAATCTTGCTTGGATCCTATCAATAATAATCTTTTTCCCTTCTCAGTCTTCTGTTCAATCTTTCTTGGATCCTATCAATAATAATCTTTTCCCTTCTCAGTCTTCTGTTCAATCTTTCTTGGATCCTATCAATAATAATCTTTTTTCCCTTCTCAGTCTTCTTCTGTTCAATCTTCTTTGTCTTCTGTTCAATCTTGCTTGGATCATCAATAATAATCTTTTCCCCTTCTCAGTCTTCTGTTCAATCTTGCTTGGATCCTATCAATAATAATCTTTTCCCCTTCTCAGTCTTCTGTTCAATCTTTCTTGGATCCTATCAATAATAATTTTTCCCTTCTCAGTCTTCTGTTCAATCTTGCTTGGATCCTATCAATAATAATCTTTTTCCCCTTCTCAGTCTTCTGTTCAATCTTTCTTGGATCCTATCAATAAATAATCTTTTTCCCTTCTCAGTCTTCTGTTCAATCTTTCTTGGATCCTATCAATAATAATCTTTTCCCCTCTCAGTCTTCTGTTCAATCTTTCTTGGATCCTATCAATAATAATCTTTTCCCCTTCTCAGTCTTCTGTTCAATCTTGCTTGGATCCTATCAATAATCAGTCTTCTGTTCAATCTTTTTCCTATCCCTTTTCCCTTCAGTCTTCTGTTCAATCTTGCTTGGATCTATCAATAATAATCTTTTCCCCTTCTCAGTCTTCTGTTCAATCTTGCTTGGATCCTATCAATAATAATCTTTTCCCCCTTCTCAGTCTTCTGTTCAATCTTTCTTGGATCCTATCAATAATAATCTTTTCCCCTTCTCAGTCTTCTGTTCAATCTTGCTTGGATCCTATCAATAATAGTCTTCTGTTTTCCCTTTTTCCTTCAGTCTTCTGTTCAATCTTTCTTGGATCCTATCAATAATAATCTTTTCCCCTTCTCAGTCTTCTGTTCAATCTTGCTTGGATCCTATCAATAATAATCTTTTTCCCCTTCTCAGTCTTCTGTTCAATCTTTCTTGGATCCTATCAATAATAATCTTTTTCCCCCTTCTCAGTCTTCTGTCCAATCTTTCTTGGATCCTATCAATAATAATCTTTTTTCCCTTCTCAGTCTTCTGTTCAATCTTTCTTGGATCCTATCAATAATAATCTTTTTTCCCCTTCTCAGTCTTCTGTTCAATCTTGCTTGGATCCTATCAATAATAATCTTTTCCCCCTTCTCAGTCTTCTGTTCAATCTTTCTTGGATCCTATCAATAATAATCTTTTCCCCTTCTCAGTCTTCTGTTCAATCTTGCTTGGATCCTATCAATAATAATCTTTTGCCCTTCTCAGTCTTCTGTTCAATCTTTCTTGGATCCTATCAATAATAATTTTCCCCTTCTCAGTCTTCTGTTCAATCTTGCTTGGATCCTATCAATAATAATCTTTTTCCCCTTCTCAGTCTTCTGTTCAATCTTTCTTGGATCCTATCAATAATAATCTTTTCCCCTTCTCAGTCTTCTGTTCAATCTTTCTTGGATCCTATCAATAATAATCTTTTTCCCTTCTCAGTCTTCTGTTCAATCTTTCTTGGATCCTATCAATAATAATCTTTTTCCCCCCTTCTCAGTCTTCTGTTCAATCTTGCTTGGATCCTATCAATAATCTTTCTTGGAATCAATAATAATTTTTCCCCTTCTCAGTCTTCTGTTCAATCTTGCTTGGATCCTATCAATAATAATCTTTTTTTCCCTTCTCAGTCTTCTGTTCAATCTTGCTTGGATCCTATCAATAATAATCTTTTTCCCCTTCTCAGTCTTCTTCAATCTTTCTTGGATCCTATCAAATCTTTCCCCTTCTTCTTGGTTCAATCCTGGATCCTATCAATAATAATCTTTTCCCTTCTCAGTCTTCTGTTCAATCTTGCTTGGATCCTATCAATAATAATCTTTTTCCCCTTCTCAGTCTTCTGTTCAATCTTTCTTGGATCCTATCAATAATAATCTTTTTCCCCTTCTCAGTCTTCTGTTCAATCTTGCTTGGATCCTATCAATAATAATCTTTTTCCCCTTCTCAGTCTTCTGTTCAATCCTTGGATCCTATCAATAATAATCTTTTTTTCTCCCTTCTCAGTCTTCTGTTCAATCTTTTTCTTGGATCCTATCAATAATAATCTTTTTTCCCCTTCTCAGTCTTCTGTTCAATCTTGCTTGGATCCTATCAATAATAATCTTTTTTTCCCTTCTGTTCTCAGTCTTCTGTCTCAGTCTTCTTTCTTGGATCCTATCAATAATAATCTTTTTCCCCTTCTCAGTCTTCTGTTCAATCTTGCTTGGATCCTATCAATAATAATCTTTTTCCCCTTCTCAGTCTTCTGTTCAATCTTTCTTCTTGGATCCTATCAATAATAATCTTTCTTTTCCCCTTCTCAGTCTTCTGTTCAATCTTTCTTGGATCCTATCAATAATCATCTTTTTGCCCTTCTCAGTCTTCTGTTCAATCTTTCTTGGATCCTATCAATAATAATCTTTTTCCCCTTCTCAGTCTTCTGTTCAATCTTGCTTGGATCCTATCAATAATAATCTTTTTCCCTTCTCAGTCTTCTGTTCAATCCTTGGATCCTATCAATAATAATCTTTTTCCCCTTCTCAGTCTTCTGTTCAATCTTGCTTGGATCCTATCAATAATAATCTTTTCCCCTTCTCAGTCTTCTGTTCAATCTTGCTTGGATCCTATCAATAATAATCTTTTCCCCTTCTCAGTCTTCTGTTCAATCCTTGGATCCTATCAATAATCTTTTCCCCTTCTCAGTCTTCTGTTCAATCTTTGCTTGGATCCTATCAATAATAATCTTTTCCTTCTTTTTCTGTTCCCTTGGATCTCAATAATAATCTTTTTCCCCTTCTCAGTCTTCTGTTCAATCTTGCTTGGATCCTATCAATAATAATCTTTTCCCTTCCCTTCTCAGTCTTCTGTTCAATCTTTCTTGGATCTATCAATAATAATCTTTTCCCCTTCTCAGTCTTCTGTTCAATCTTGCTTGGATCCTATCAATAATAATCTTTTTCCCCTTCTCAGTCTTCTGTTCAATCTTTCTTGGATCCTATCAATAATAATCTTTTTCCCTTCTCAGTCTTCTGTTCAATCTTTCTTGGATCCTATCAATAATAATCTTTTTTTCTCAGTCTTCTCAATCTTCTGTTCAATCTTTCTTTCTCAGTCCTCAATCAATCAATCTTTTTCCCCTTCTTAGTCTTCTGTTCAATCTTGCTTGGATCCTATCAATAATAATCTTTTCCCCTTCTCAGTCTTCTGTTCAATCTTTCTTGGATCCTATCAATAATAATCTTTTTCCCCTTCTCAGTCTTCTGTTCAATCTTGCTTGGATCCTATCAATAATAATCTTTCCCCTTCTCAGTCTTCTGTTCAATCTTTCTTGGATCCTATCAATAATAATCTTTTTCCCTTCTCAGTCTTCTGTTCAATCTTGCTTGGATCCTATCAATAATAATCTTTTTTCCCCTTCTCAGTCTTCTGTTCAATCTTCTTGGATCCTATCAATAATAATCTTTTCCCCTTCTCAGTCTTCTGTTCAATCTTGCTTGGATCCTATCAATAATAATCTTTTTCCCCTTCTCAGTCTTCTGTTCAATCTTGCTTGGATCCTATCAATAATAATCTTTTTTCCCCCTTCTCAGTCTTCTGTTCAATCTTTCTTGGATCCTATCAATAATAATCTTTTTCCCCTTCTCCAGTCTTCTGTTCAATCTTTCTTTCTGTTCAATAATAATCTTGGATCCTTCTCAGTCTTCTGTTCAATCTTGCTTGGATCCTTCTCTTTTTCCCTTCTCAGTCTTCTGTTCAATCTTTCTTGGATCCTATCAATAATAATCTTTTTTCCCTTCTCAGTCTGTTCTTGTCCAATCTTCTTGGATCCTATCAATCTAATGTTCAATTTTTGGATCCCTTCTCAGTCTTCTGTTCAATCTTTCTTGGATCCTATCAATAATAATCTTTTTCCCCTTCTCAGTCTTCTGTTCAATCTTTCTTGGATCCTATCAATAATAATCTTTCCCCTTCTCAGTCTTCTGTTCAATCTTGCTTTGGATCCTATCAATAATAATCTTTTCCCCTTCTCAGTCTTCTGTTCAATCTTTCTTGGATCCTATCAATAATAATCTTTTCCCCTTCTCAGTCTTCTGTTCAATCTTTCTTGGATCCTATCAATAATAATCTTTTCCCTTCTCAGTCTTCTGTTCAATCTTGCTTGGATCCTATCAATAATAATCTTTTCCCTTCTCAGTCTTCTGTTCAATCTTGCTTGGATCCTATCAATAATAATCTTTTTTTCCCTTCTCAGTCTTCTGTTCAATCTTGCTTGGATCCTATCAATAATAATCTTTTCCCCTTCTCAGTCTTCTGTTCAATCTTGCTTGGATCCTATCAATAATAATCTTTTTTCCCCTTCTCAGTCTTCTGTTCAATCTTTCTTGGATCCTATCAATAATAATCTTTTCCCTTTCAGTCTTCTGTTCAATCTTGCTTGGATCCTATCAATAATAATCTTTTTCCCCTTCTCAGTCTTCTGTTCAATCTTTCTTGGATCCTATCAATAATAATTTTTTTCTCAGTCCTTCTCAATCTTCTGTTCAATCTTTTTTCCCCTTGGATCCTATCAATAATAATCTTTCCCCTTCTCAGTCTTCTCAATCTTCTTCTATCAATTCAATCTTTTCCCTTCTTGGTTCAATCCTTGGATCCTATCAATAATAATCTTTTCCCCTTCTCAGTCTTCTGTTCAATCTTGCTTGGATCCTATCAATAATAATCTTTCCCTTCCTTCTCAGTCTTCTGTTCAATCTTGCTTGGATCCTATCAATAATAATCTTTTTCCCCTTCTTAGTCTTCTGTCCAATCTTGCTTGGATCCTATCAATAATAATCTTTTTCCCCTTCTTAGTCTTCTGTTCAATCTTGCTTGGATCCTATCAGTAATAATCTTTTTCCCCTTCTCAGTCTTCTGTCCAATCTTGCTTGGATCCTATCAATAATAATCTTTTTTCCCTTCTCAGTTTTCTGTTCAATCTTACTTGGATCCTATCAATAATAATCTTTTTCCCCTTCTCAGTCTTCTGTTCAATCTTGCTTGGATCCTATCAATAATAATCTTTTTGCCCTTCTCAGTCTTCTGTTCAATCTTTCTTGGATCCTATCAATAATCTTTTTCTTTCTCCCTTCTCAGTCTTCTTGGATCCTATCAATCTTTTTTCCCTTGGATCCTATCTTTCTTGGATCCTATCAATAATAATCTTTTCCCCTTCTCAGTCTTCTGTTCAATCTTTCTTGGATCCTATCAATAATAATCTTTTCCCCTTCTCAGTCTTCTGTTCAATCTTGCTTGGATCCTATCAATAATAATCTTTTTCCCCTTCTCAGTCTTCTGTTCAATCTTGCTTGGATCCTATCAATAATAATCTTTCCCCTTCTCAGTCTTCTGTTCAATCTTGGATCCTATCAATAATAATCTTTTTCCCTTCTCAGTCTTCTGTTCAATCTTTCTTGGATCCTATCAATAATAATCTTTTCCCCTTCTCAGTCTTCTGTTCAATCTTGCTTGGATCCTATCAATAATAATCTTTTCCCCTTCTCAGTCTTCTGTTCAATCTTTCTTGGATCCTATCAATAATAATCTTTTCCCCTTCTCAGTCTTCTGTTCAATCTTGCTTGGATCCTATCAATAATAATCTTTTTCCCCTTCTCAGTCTTCTGTTCAATCTTTCTTGGATCCTATCAATAATAATCTTTTCCCCTTCTCAGTCTTCTGTTCAATCTTGCTTGGATCCTATCAATAATAATCTTTTTTTCCCTTCTCAATCTTCTGTTCAATCTTGCAATCTTTGGATCCTATCAATAATAATTTTTTCCCTTCTCAGTCTTCTGTTCAATCTTTCTTGGATCCTATCAATAATAATCTTTCCCCCCCTTCTCAGTCTTCTGATCCTTCAATCTTTCCCCTTGGATCCTATCAATAATAATCTTTTTCCCTTCTCAGTCTTCTGTTCAATCTTTCTTGGATCCTATCAATAATAATCTTTTTCCCCTTCTCAGTCTTCTGTTCAATCTTTCTTGGATCCTATCAATAATAATCTTTTTCCCCCTTCTCAGTCTTCTGTTCAATCTTCCCTTTGTCTTCCTATCAATAATAATCTTTTTCCCCTTCTCAGTCTTCTGTTCAATCTTTCTTGGATCCTATCAATAATAATCTTTTTTCCCTTCTCAGTCTTCTGTTCAATCTTTCTTGGATCCTATCAATAATAATCTTTTTTCCCCTTCTCAGTCTTCTGTTCAATCTTCTTGGATCCTATCAATAATAATCTTTTTCCCTTTCAGTCTTCTGTTCAATCTTGCTTGGATCCTATCAATAATAATCTTTTCCCTTCTCAGTCTTCTGTTCAATCTTCTTGGATCCTATCAATAATAATCTTTTCCCCTTCTCAGTCTTCTGTTCAATCTTGCTTGGATCCTATCAATAATAATCTTTTTCCCCTTCTCAGTCTTCTGTTCAATCTTCTTGATCCTTGGATCCTATCAATAATAATCTTTTTCCCCTTCTCAGTCTTCTGTTCAATCTTTCTTGGATCCTATCAATAATAATCTTTTCCCCTTCTCAGTCTTCTGTTCAATCTTTCTTGGATCCTATCAATAATAATCTTTTCCCCTTCTCAGTCTTCTGTTCAATCTTTCTTGGATCCTATCAATAATAATCTTTTTTCCCCTTCTCAGTCTTCTGTTCAATCTTTTTTCTTGGATCCTATCAATAATAATCTTTTTCCCCTTCTCAGTCTTCTGTTCAATCTTTCTTGGATCCTATCAATAATAATCTTTTCCCTTCTCAGTCTTCTGTTCAATCTTGCTTGGATCCTATCAATAATAATCTTTTTTCCCCTTCTCAGTCTTCTGTTCAATCTTTCTTGGATCCTATCAATAATAATCTTTTTTTCCCTTCTCAGTCTTCTGTTCAATCTTTCTTGGATCCTATCAATAATAATCTTTTTCCCCTTCTCAGTCTTCTGTTCAATCTTGCTTGGATCCTATCAATAATAATCTTTTTCCCCTTCTCAGTCTTCTGTTCAATCTTTCTTGGATCCTATCAATAATAATCTTTTTCCCTTCTCAGTCTTCTGTTCAATCTTGCTTGGATCCTATCAATAATAATCTTTTCCCCCTTCTCTCAATCTTTCTTGGTCTTCTGTTCAGTCTTCTTTCTTTGGATCCTATCAATAATAATCTTTTCCCCTTCTCAGTCTTCTGTTCAATCTTCTTGGATCCTATCAATCTTTTCCCCTTCTCAGTCTTCTGTTCAATCCTTGGATCCTATCAATAATAATCTTTTCCCTTCTCAGTCTTCTGTTCAATCTTGCTTGGATCCTATCAATAATAATCTTTTCCCCTTCTCAGTCTTCTGTTCAATCTTGCTTGGATCCTATCAATCTTTTCCCCTTCTCAGTCTTCTGTTCAATCTTTTGGATCCTATCAATAATAATCTTTTCCTTCTTCTTCTGTTCAATCTTTCTTGGATCCTATCAATAATAATCTTTTTCCCCTTTTCTTCTGTTCCTTTCTTGGATCCTATCAATAATAAGTCTTCTGTTCAATCTTTCTTGGATCCTATCAATAATAATCTTTTCCCCTTCTCAGTCTTCTGTTCAATCTTCTTGGATCCTATCAATAATAATCTTTTCCCCTTCTCAGTCTTCTGTTCAATCTTGCTTGGATCCTATCAATAATAATCTTTTTCCCCTTCTCAGTCTTCTGTTCAATCTTTCTTGGATCCTATCAATAATAATCTTTTTCCCCTTCTCAGTCTTTTCTGTTCAATCTTGCTTGGATCCTATCAATAATAATCTTTTTTCCCCCTTCTCAGTCTTCTGTTCAATCTTTCTTGGATCCTATCAATAATAATCTTTTCCCCTTCTCAGTCTTCTGTTCAATCTTGCTTGGATCCTATCAATAATAATCTTTTTTTTCTTTCTTCTCAATCTTCTGATCCTATCAATAATAATCTTTTTCCCCTTCTCAGTCTTTCAATCTTGCTTGGATCCTATCAATAATAATCTTTTTCCCTTCTCAGTCTTCTGTTCAATCTTGCTTGGATCCTATCAATAATAATCTTTTCCCTTCTCAGTCTTCTGTTCAATCTTGCTTGGATCCTATCAATAATAATCTTTTTTCCCCTTCTCAGTCTTCTGTTCAATCTTTCTTGGATCCTATCAATAATAATCTTTTTCCCTTCTCAGTCTTCTGTTCAATCTTGCTTGGATCCTATCAATAATAATCTTTTTCCCTTCTCAGTCTTCTGTTCAATCTTGCTTGGATCCTATCAATAATAATCTTTTTTCCCCTTCTCAGTCTTCTGTTCAATTTTTTTCTTGGATCCTATCAATAATAATCTTTTTCCCCTTCTCAGTCTTCTGTTCAATCTTGCTTGGATCCTATCAATAATAATCTTTTTCCCCTTCTCAGTCTTCTGTTCAATCTTTCTTGGATCCTATCAATAATAATCTTTTTCCCTTCTCAGTCTTCTGTTCAATCTTGCTTGGATCCTATCAATAATAATCAGTCTTTTTCCCTTGGATCTATCAATAATAATCTTTTCCCTTCTCAGTCTTCTGTTCAATCTTGCTTGGATCCTATCAATAATAATCTTTTCCCCTTCTCAGTCTTCTGTTCAATCTTTCTTGGATCCTATCAATAATAATCTTTTCCCCTTCTCAGTCTTCTGTTCAATCTTGCTTGGATCCTATCAATAATAATCTTTTTCCCCCTTCTCAGTCTTTCTGTTCAATCTTTCTTGGATCCTATCAATAATAATCTTTTCCCCTTCTCAGTCTTCTGTTCAATCTTGCTTGGATCCTATCAATAATAATCTTTTCCCCTTCTCAGTCTTCTGTTCAATCTTTCTTGGATCCTATCAATAATAATTTTTTTCCTTCTCAGTCTTCTGTTCAATCTTGCTTGGATCCTATCAATAATAATCTTTTCCCTTCTCAGTCTTTCTCAGATCCTATCAATAATAATCTTTTCTTCTCAGTCTTCTTCAATCTTGCTTGGATCCTATCAATAATAATCTTTTTCCCTTCTCAGTCTTCTGTCAATCTTGCTTGGATCTGTCAATGATCCAATCTTTTCCCTTCTCAGTCTTCTGTCCAATCTTGCTTGGATCCTATCAATAATAATCTTTTTCCCCTTCTCAGTCTTCTGTTCAATCTTGCTTGGATCCTATCAATAATAATCTTTTTCCCCCCTTCTCAGTCTTCTGTTCAATCTTTCTTGGATCCTATCAATAATAATCTTTTCCCCTTCTCAGTCTTCTGTTCAATCTTGCTTGGATCCTATCAATAATAATCTTTTCCCCTTCTCAGTCTTCTGTTCAATCTTTCTTGGATCCTATCAATAATAATCTTTTCCCCTTCTCAGTCTTCTGTTCAATCTTCTTGGATCCTATCAATAATAATCTTTTTCCCCTTCTCAGTCTTCTGTTCAATCTTGCTTGGATCCTTTCAATAATAATCTTTTCCCCCTTCTCAGTCTTCTGTTCAATCTTGCTTGGATCCTATCAATAATAATCTTTTCCCCTTTCAGTCTTCTGTTCAATCTTCTTGGATCCTATCAATAATAATCTTTTCCCCTTCTTGGATCTTTCTTGGATCCTATCAATAATCTTTTCCCAATCAATAATCTTTTTCCCCTTCTCAGTCTTCTGTTCAATCTTGCTTGGATCCTATCAATAATAATCTTTTCCCCTTCTCAGTCTTCTGTTCAATCTTGCTTGGATCCTATCAATAATAATCTTTTTCCCCTTCTCAGTCTTCTGTTCAATCTTTCTTGGATCCTATCAATAATAATCTTTTTCCCCCTTCTCAGTCTTCTGTCCAATCTTTCTTGGATCCTATCAATAATAATCTTTTTCCCCTTCTCAGTCTTCTGTTCAATCTTGCTTGGATCCTATCAATAATAATCTTTTTCCCCTTCTCAGTCTTCTGTTCAATCTTGCTTGGATCCTATCAATAATAATCTTTTTTCCCTTCTCAGTCTTCTGTTCAATCTTTCTTGGATCCTATCAATAATAATCTTTTCCCTTCTCAGTCTTCTGTTCAATCTTGCTTGGATCCTATCAATAATAATCTTTTTCCCTTCTCAGTCTTCTGTTCAATCTTTCTTGGATCCTATCAATAATAATCTTTTCCCCCCTTCTCAGTCTTCTGTTCAATCTTGCTTGGATCCTATCAATAATAATTTTTCCCTTCTCAGTCTTCTGTTCAATCTTTGCTTGGATCCTATCAATAATAATCTTTTCCCCTTCTCAGTCTTCTGTCAATCTTTCTTGGATCCTATCAATAATAATCTTTTTCCCCTTCTCAGTCTTCTGTTCAATCTTCTTGGATCCTATCAATAATAATCTTTTTTCCCTTCTCAGTCTTCTGTTCAATCTTCTTGGATCCTATCAATAATAATCTTTTCCCTTCTCAGTCTTCTGTTCAATCTTGCTTGGATCCTATCAATAATAATCTTTTTTCTCAGTCTTCTGTTCAATCTTGCTTGGATCTTCTTTTCCCTTCTCAGTCTTTCTTGGATCCTATCAATAATCTTTTTCCCCTTCTCAGTCTTCTGTTCAATCTTTCTTGGATCCTATCAATAATAATCTTTTCCCCTTCTCAGTCTTCTGTTCAATCTTTCTTGGATCCTATCAATAATAATCTTTTTCCCTTCTCAGTCTTCTGTTCAATCTTGCTTGGATCCTATCAATAATAATCTTTTCCCCTTCTCAGTCTTCTGTTCAATCTTCTTGGATCCTATCAATAATAATCTTTCCCCTTCTCAGTCTTCTGTTCAATCTTTGCTTGGATCCTATCAATAATAATCTGTTTTTTGGATCCCCTTTTCTCAGTCTTCTGTTCAATCTTTTTTCTTGGATCCTATCAATAATAATCTTTTCCCCTTCTCAGTCTTCTGTTCAATCTTGCTTGGATCCTATCAATAATAATCTTTTCCCCTTCTCAGTCTTCTCAATCTTCTTTTCAATCTTTTCCCCTTGGAGTCTTCTGTCCAATCTTCTTGGATAATCAATCTTTTCCCCTTCTCAGTCTTCTGTTCAATCTTTCTTGGATCCTATCAATAATAATCTTTTCCCCTTCTCAGTCTTCTGTTCAAACTTGCTTGGATCCTATCAATAATAATCTTTTTCCCCCTTCTCAGTCTTCTGTCCAATCTTTCTTGGATCCTATCAATAATAATCTTTTTCCCCTTCTCAGTCTTCTGTTCAATCTTGCTTGGATCCTATCAATAATAATCTTTCCCCCTTCTCAGTCTTCTGTTCAATCTTCTTGGATCCTATCAATAATAATCTTTTCCCCTTCTCAGTCTTCTGTTCAATCTTGCTTGGATCCTATCAATAATAATCTTTTTTCCCCTTCTCAGTCTTCTGTTCAATCTTTCTTGGATCCTATCAATAATAATCTTTCCCCTTCTCAGTCTTCTGTTCAATCTTGCTTGGATCCTATCAATAATAATCTTTTCCCCTTCTCAGTCTTCTGTTCAATCTTGCTTGGATCCTATCAATAATAATCTTTTTCCCCTTCTCAGTCTTCTGTTCAATCTTGCTTGGATCCTATCAATAATAATCTTTTTTCCCCTTTCTCAGTCTTCTTGGATCCTATCAATCTTTTTTTCTTGGTCTTCTGTCCTATCTTGCTTGGATCCTATCAATAATAATCTTTTCCCCTTCTTCAGTCTTCTGTTCAATCTTGCTTGGATCCTATCAATAATAATCTTTTCCCCCCTTCTCAGTCTTCTGTTCAATCTTTGCTTGGATCCTATCAATAATAATCTTTTCCCCTTCTCAGTCTTCTGTTCAATCTTCTTGGATCCTATCAATAATAATCTTTTTCTCCCTTCTCAGTCTTTCTGGATCCTATCCAATCTTTTTTCTTCAGTCTTCTGCTCCTATCAATAATAATCTTTTCCCCTTCTCAGTCTTCTGTTCAATCTTGCTTGGATCCTATCAATAATAAGTCTTCTGTTCAATCTTGCTTGGATCCTATCAATAATAATCTTTTCCCCCTTCTCAGTCTTCTGTCCAATCTTTCTTGGATCCTATCAATAATAATCTTTTTCCCCTTCTTCAGTCTTCTGTTCAATCTTGCTTGGATCCTATCAATAATAATCTTTTCCCCTTCTCAGTCTTCTGTTCAATCTTGCTTGGATCCTATCAATAATAATCTTTTCCCCTTCTCAGTCTTCTGTTCAATCTTGCTTGGATCCTATCAATAATAATCTTTTTCCCCTTCTCAGTCTTCTGTTCAAACTTGCTTGGATCCTATCAATAATAATCTTTTTCCCCTTCTTAGTCTTCTGTTCAATCTTACTGTGATCCTATCAATAATAATCTTTTTCCACATCTCAGTCGTCTGTTCAATCTTTCTTGGATCCTATCAATAATAATCTTTTTCCCCCTTCTCAGTCTTCTGTCCAATATTTCTTGGATCCTATCAATAATAATCTTTTTCCCTTCTCAGTCTTCTGTTCAATCTTCTTGGATCCTATCAATAATAATCTTTTCCTTTCTCAGTCTTCTGTTCAATCTTTCTTGGATCCTATCAATAATAATCTTTTTTCCCCTTCTCAGTCTTCTCTTCAATCTTTCTTGGATCCTATCAATAATAATCTTTTTCCTTCTCAGTCTTCTGTTCTTCTTCTTTCTTGGATCCTATCAATAATAATCTTTTTCCCTTCTCAGTCTTCTGTTCAATCTTCTCTTGGATCCTATCAATAATAATCTTTTCCCCCCTTCTTTTCTGTTCAATCTTTCTTGGATCTATCAATAATAATCTTTCCCTTTCCAGTCTTTTCAATCTTTCTATCATCCTATCAATTTTCTTTTTCCCCTTCTCAGTCTTCTGTTTTCAATCTTTCTTGGATCCTATCAATAATAATCTTTTTCCCCTTCTCAGTCTTCTGTTCAATCTTTCTTGGATCCTATCAATAATAATCTTTTTCCCCCTTCTCAGTCTTCTGTCCAATCTTTCTTGGATCCTATCAATAATAATCTTTTTCCCTTTCAGTCTTCTGTTCAATCTTTCTTGGATCCTATCAATAATAATCTTTTTTCCCTTCTCAGTCTTCTGTTCAATCTTGCTTGGATCCTATCAATAATAATCTTTTCCCCTTCTCAGTCTTCTGTTCAATCTTTCTTGGATCCTATCAATAATAATCTTTTTCCCCCTTCTCAGTCTTCTGTTCAATCTTTCTTGGATCCTATCAATAATAATCTTTTCCCTTCTCAGTCTTCTGTTCAATCTTTCTTGGATCCTATCAATAATAATCTTTCTTTTCCCCTTCTTTCTTTCATCAGTCTTCTTTCCCTTTCAATCTTTCTTGGATCCTATCAATAATAATCTTTCCCCTTCTCAGTCTTCTGTTCAATCTTCTTGGATCCTATCAATAATAATCTTTTCCCCTTCTCAGTCTTCTGTTCAATCTTTCTTTCCTATCAATAATAATCTTTTTCCCCTTCTCAGTCTTCTGTTCAATCTTTCTTGGATCCTATCAATAATAATCTTTTCCCCCTTCTCTTCTTCTGTCCAATCTTCTTGGATCCTATCAATAATAATCTTTTCCCTTCTCAGTCTTCTGTTCAATCTTCTTGGATCTATCAATAATAATCTTTTCCCTTCTCAGTCTTCTGTTCAATCTTCTTGGATCCTATCAATAATAATCTTTTCCCCTTCTCAGTCTTCTGTTCAATCTTTCTTGGATCCTATCAATAATAATCTTTTCCCCTTTCAGTCTTCTGTTCAATCTTTCTTTCCTATCAATAATAATCTTTTCCCCCTTCTCAGTCTTCTGTTCAATCTTTCTTGGATCCTATCAATAATAATCTTTTTCCTTCTCTCAGTCTTCTGTTCAATCTTCTTGGATCCTATCAATAATAATCTTTTCCCTTCTCAGTCTTCTCAATCTTTCTTGGATCTATCAATAATAATCTTTCCCCTTCTCAGTCTTCTGTTCAATCTTTGGATCCTATCAATAATCTTTTTCCCCTTCTCAGTCTTCTGTTCAATCTTTCTTTTCCTATCAATAATAATCTTTTCCCTTCTCAGTCTTCTGTTCAATCTTTCTTGGATCCTATCAATAATAATCTTTTTCTTCTTCTTTTCTTTTTCTCTTTCATCTTTGGATCTTATCAATAGCTTTTCTTTTTCCCCTTCTTAGTCTTCTTTCATCAATCTTTTTGGATCTATCTTCTTTTCTTATTTTCTCAGTCTTCTGTTCAATCTTTCTTGGATCCTTCATCAATAATCTTTTCCCTTCTCAGTCTTCTGTCAATCTTCTTTCATCAATAATCAATAATAATCTTTTCCTTCTTCTTTCTTCTCTTCAATCTTTCTTTTCTTCAATAATCCTTTTTTCCCATCAATAGTCTTCTTTCAATCTTTCTTTCCTATCAATAATAATTTTTTCCCTTCTCTTCTTTCTTCAATCTTAAGCTTTCCTATCCTTCTAATCTTTTCCCTTTCTCAGTCTTCTGTTCTTCTCTTTCTTGGATCCTATCAATAATAATCTTTTCCCTTCTCTTCCTTCTTCTTTTCTTTTCTTTATCTTAATAATCTTTTTTCATCCCTTTTCAGTCTTCTGTTCAATCTTCTTTCCTATCAATAATCTTTTTCCCCTTCTCAGTCTTCATTCAATCTTTCTTGGATCCTATCAATCTTTTCTTTCTTCTTCTTTCTTCCATCCTTTTCTTCTTCTTCTCTTCTTCTTTCCATCAATAATAATCTTTTCCCTTTCTTCTTCTCTTCTTCTTTTCATCAATAATCTTTTTTCTTCTTCTCAGTCTTCTTTTCAATCTTTCTTGGAGCTTTTCTTTCTTCTCAGTCTTCTGTTTCTTTCATCCAATAATCTTTTTGCCCTTTCTCTTCTTCTCTTCCAATCTTTCTTGGATCCTATCAATAATCTTTTCTTTCTTTCTTCTCTTCAATCTTCTTTCTATCAATAATAATCTTTTTCCCTTCTTCTCTTCTGTTCAATCTTTCTTGGATCCTATCAATATCAATCTTTCCCTTTCTTCTTCTTTCTTTCTTTTCATGGATCCTATTCTTTCTTCTTTTTCCCTTTCTCAATAGTCTTCTGTTCAATCTTCTCTTGGATCCTATCAATAATAATCTTTTCCCTTCTCAGTCTTCTGTTTTCCTATCTTTCCCCTTTCTTCTTCTGTCAATCTTTCTTGGAACCTTTCCTTTCTTTTCTCCCTTCTTTCTCAGTCTTCTTTTCAATCTTGCTTGGATCCTATCAATAATCTTTTCTTTCTTCTTCTTCTTCTGTTCAAATCTTTCTTTTTCCTATCAATAATAATCTTTTCTTTCTTCTTCTTTCTTCTTTCATCAATTGGCTTCCTTTCTTCTTCTCTTCTTTTCCCTTTCTCAGTCTTTTCTTTCTTCTTCTCTTCTTCTTTCATCAATTTTTCTTTCTTCTTCTCTCTTCTTCTTTCAATCTTTCTTTCCTTTCAATAATCTTTTCCCCCTTCTCAATAATCTTTTCTGTTCAATCTTTCTTCCTTCCTTTCATCAATAATTTTTTTTCCCCTTCTTCTTCTTCTCTTGGATCCTTTCATCAATAATCTTTTTCCCCTTCTCAGTCTTCTGTCAATCTTCTTGGATCTTTCATCAATAATCTTTTCCCCTTCTCTTCTTCTGTTTCAATCTTTTTTCTTCCTATCAATAATAATCTTTCCCCCTTCTTAGTCTTCTGTTCAAATTTCTTTCCATCAATAATAATCTTTTTCTTCTCTTCCTTCTTTCATCAATCTTTCTTCTTCTCTTCTTTTCTTTTCAATCAATAAGCTTTCTTTTTCCTCTTCCTTCTTTTCTCAATAATCTTTCCTTTCTTCTTCTCTCCTATCTTTCATAATCTTTTCTTTCTTCTTCTTTTCCTTCTTTCATCAATAATCTTTCCCTTTCGGTTCTTCTTTTTCTTTCAATAATAATCTTTTTCCCCTTCTTGGTCTTTCTTTTTGCTTTGGATCCTATCAATAATAATCTTTTTTCTTTTCAATAGTCTTCTTTCTTCTTCTCTTTTCTATCAATAATCTTTTTCCCTTTCTTCTGTTCTCTTCTTTCTTTCAATAATAATCTTTTTCTTTTCTTCTCTTCCTTCTTTCATCAATAATCTTTTTCTTTCTTCTTCTCTTCTTTTTTTTAATCAATAATCTTTTTTTCTTCTTCTTCTCTTCCTTCTTTCATCAATAATTTTCCCCCTTTTTCTTCTCTTCTTTCTTTCTATCAATAATAATCTTTTTCTTTCTTCTTCTCTTCTTTCTTTCATCAATAATCTTTTCTTTCTTCTTCTCTTTTTCTTTCATCAATAATAATCTTTCCCTTTCTTTCTTCTTCTCTTCTTTCTTTCATCAATAATCTTTTTCTTTCTTCTTCTTCTTCCTTCTTTTCCATCAATAATCTTTTTTTCTTCTTCTTTCTTCTTTTTCATCAATAATCTTTTCCTTTCTTCTTCTCTTCCTTCTCAAGTCTTTTTCTTTCAGTCTTCTCTTCAATCTTTCTTGAATTCATCAATAATCTTTTCTTTCTTCTTCTCTTCTTTCTTTCAATAATAATCTTTTTTTCTTCTTCTCTTCTATCTTTTTTCTTCTCTTCTTTCTTTCATTCTTTTCTTTCTTCTTCTCTTTTCTTTATCAATAATCTTTTTCCCTTCTCAGTCTTCTTTCTTTCTTCTTGGATCCTATCAATTTCTTTCCTTCTTTCATCTTCTTTTCAATCTTCTCTGGATCCTTTCATCAATAATCTTTTTTCCCTTTCTTCTTCTCTTTCTTCTTTAATCTATCAGCTTTTCTTTCTTCTTTCTTCTTTCTTTCATCAGTCTTCTTTTCTTTTCTTCTTCTCTTCTTCTTTTCAATAATAATCTTTTCTTCTTCTCAGTCTTCTTTCATCAATCTTGCTTTTCTATCAATCTTCTTTCCCTTCATCAATCTTTTCTTCTCTTCTTTCCTTTCATCAATTCTTTTTCTTTCTTCTTCTCTTCTTCTTTCATCAATAATCTTTTTCTTCTTCTCTTCTTCTTTTCAATAAGCTTTTCTTTCTTCTTCTTCTTTCATCAATAATCTTTTTTCTTTCTTCTTCTCTTTCTTTCCTTTCATCAATAATCTTTTTTCCCCTTCTCAGTCTTCTGTTTCTTCTTGGATCTTTTCTTTCTTCTAATCTTCTTTCTTTCATCAATAAGCTTTTCTTTCTTCTTCTCTGGATCCTTCAATCAATAATCTTTTTTCCCTTTCTTCTTCTGTTTCTTTCTTTCATCAATAATCTTTTCTTTCTTCTTCTCTTCAATCTTCTTTCATCAATAATCTTTTTTTTCTTCTCTTTCTTCTGTTCAATCTTTCTTTCTTCTTCAATCTTTTTCATCCTTCTTTTCTTTCTTCTTTTCTTTCTTATTCAATCAATAATCCTTTTTCTTCTTCTCTTCCTTCTTTCATCAATAATCTTTTCTTTCTTCTTCCTTCAATAATTCTTTCATCAATAATCTTTTTTTTCTTCTTCTCTTCCTTTCAATCAATAATCTTTTCTTCTTCTTCTCTTCAAACTTTCTTTCATCAATAATCTTTTCCCCTTTCTTCTTCTCTTCTTTCTTTCATCTAATCTTTTCCTTTCTTCTTTTCCCCTTCTTTCTTCTTTGTTCAATCTTCTCTTTCTTCCTATCATCAATCTTTTGCCCCTTTCTTCTTCTCTTCCTTCTTTCCTATCAATAATAATCTTTTTCTTCTTCTCAGTCTTTCTTTCAATCTTCTTGGATCCTTTCTTTCTTCCTTCTTTCATCCAATCTTGCTTTCTTTTTCAATCTTTGCTTTTTCTCAATAAAGTCTTCTGTTTCTTCTTCTTGGATCCTTCAATCAATAATCTTTTCCCTTTCTTCTTCTCTTCCTTTCTTTCCATCAATAATCTTTCTTTCTTCTTCTCTTTTCTTTCATCAATAATAATCTTTTTCTTCTTCTTCTTCTTCTTTCTTCTTCTTTTCCTTCTTTCTTCTTCTTTCTTTCTTGGATCCTCTTCAATAATCTTTTTTCCCCTTCTCAGTCTTTTCTTTCTTTTTCTCTTCCTTCTTTCATCAATAATCTTTTCTTTCTTCTTCTCTTCTTTCTTTCATCAATAATTTTTTTCTTCTTCTTCTTCTTCTGTTCAATCTTTCTTTTTCCTATCAATCAATCTTTTTCCTTTCTTCTTCTCTTCTTTCTTTCATCAATAATCTTTTTCTTTCTTCTTCTCTTCTTCATCAATTTTCTTTCTTCTTCTCTTACTTCTTTCATCAATAATAATCTTTTCTATTTCTTTTTCTTTCTCAGTCTTCTGTTCTTCTTCTCTTTCTTTTTTCATCAATAATCTTTTTCTTTCTTCTTCTCTCAATCTTTCTTCCAATCTTATCTTTCTTAATCTTTTTCTTTCTCAGTCTTCTTTCTTCTTCTTCTTTCTTTCATCAATAATTTTTTTCTTCTTCTCTTCTTCTTTCATCTTGCTTTTCTTTCTTCTTCTCTTCCTTCTTTTCATCAATAATCTTTTCTTTCTTCTTCTTTTCTTTCATCTTCTTGTTCTCTTCCTTCTTTCATCAATAAGCTTTTCTTTCTTCTTCTCTTCTTTCTTTCATCAATAATCTTTTCTTTCTTCTTCTCTTCCTTCTTTCATCAATAATCTTTTCTTTCTTCTTCTCTTCCTTCTTTCATCAATAATCTTTTCTTTCTTCTTCTCTTCTTTCTTTCATCAATAATCTTTTCTTTCTTCTTCTCTTCTTTCTTTCATCAATAAGCTTTTCTTTCTTCTTATCTTCCTTCTTTCATAAATAATCTTTCTTTCTTCTTCTTTCTTCTTTAATCAATCTTTTCTTTCTTCTTCTCTTCCTTCTTTCATCAATATCTTTCCTTTCTTTTCCTTTCCTTCTTTTCTCTTCCTTCTTTCATCAATAATCTTTCCTTTCTTCTTCTCTTCCTTCTTTCATCAATAAGCTTTTCTTTCTTCTTCTCTTCTTTCTTTCATCAATAAGCTTTCCTTTCTTCTTCTCTTCCTTCTTTCATCAATAATCTTTTCTTTCTTCTTCTCTTTCTTATTTAATCAATAAGCTTTTCTTTCTTCTTCTCTTCCTTCTTTCATCAATAATCTTTCCTTTCTTCTTCTCTTCTTTCTTTCATCAATAAGCTTTCCTTTCTTCTTCTCTTCCTTCTTTCATCAATGAGCTTTTCTTTCTTCTTCTCTTCTTTCTTTCATCAATCTTCTCTTCTTTTCTTTTCTTCTTTTTCCTTTCTTCTTCTCTTCCTTCTTTCATCAATAATCTTTTCTTTCTTCTTCTCTTCATTCTTTCATCAATAATCTTTTTTTTCTTCTTCTCTTCTTTCTTTCATCAATAAGCTTTTCTTTCTTCTTCTCTTCCTTCCTTTTCTTTTCTTTTCTCTTTCTTATTTAATCAATAATCTTCTTCCTTCTTTCATTCTTTTCTTTCTTCTTCTCTTCTTTCTTTAATCAATAAGCTTTTCTTTCTTCTTCTCTTCTTTCTTTCATCAATAATCTTTTCTTTCTTCTTCTCTTCCTTCTTTCATCAATAATCTTTTCTTTCTTCTTCTCTTCTTTCTTTCATCAATAAGCTTTTCTTTCTTCTTCTTCTCTTCCTTCTTTCATCAATAATCTTTCCTTTCTTCTTCTCTTCTTTCTTTCATCAATAATCTTTCCTTTCTTCTTCTCTTCTTTCTTTCATCAATAAGCTTTTCTTTCTTCTTCTCTTTTTTCTTTCATCAATAAGCTTTTCTTTCTTCTTCTCTTCTTTTTTTTTCATCAAGTCTTCTTTTTTCTTTTCTTCTTCTCTTCTTTCTTTCTTCTTTTCTTTCTTCTTCTCTTCCTTCTTTCATCAATAACCTTTCCTTTCTTCTTCTTTTCTTTCAATAAATTTTTTCTTCTCTTTCTTCTTTTTTCATCAATAATCTTTTCTTTCTTCTTCTCTTCCTTCTTTCATCAATTCTTTCCTTTCTTCTTCTTCTCTTCTTTCTTTCATCAATAAGCTTTCCTTTTCTTTCTTCCTTCTTTTTCATCAATAAGCTTTCTTTCTTTTCTCTTCTTCTCTTTCTTATTTAATCAATAAGCTTTTCTTTCTTCTTCTCTTCCTTCTTTCATCAATAATCTTTCCTTTCTTCTTCTATTCCTTCTTTCATCAATAAGTTTTTCTTTCTTCTTCTCTTCCTTCTTTCATCAATAATCTTTCCTTTCTTCTTCTCTTCTTTCTTTCATCAATAAGCTTTTCTTTCTTCTTCTCTGTTTTCTTTCATCAATAATCTTTTCTTTCTTCTTCTCTTCCTTCTTTCTTTTTTTCTTCTTCTCTTCAATAATCAATAAGCTTTTCTTTCTTCTTCTCTTCCTTCTTTCATCAATAATCTTTTCTTTCTTTTCTCTTCTTTCTTTCATCAATCTTTCCTTTCTTCTTCTCTTCTTTCTTTCATCAATAAGCTTTTCTTTCTTCTTCTCTTCCTTCTTTCATCAATAATCTTTTCTTTCTTCTTCTCTTCTTTCTTTCATCAATAAGCTTTTCTTTCTTCTTCTCTTCCTTCTTTCATCAATAATCTTTTCTTTCTTCTTCTCTTCCTTCTTTCATCAATAATCTTTTCTTTCTTCTTCTCTTCTTTCTTTCATCAATAAGCTTTTCTTTCTTCTTTCTTCTTTCATCAATCTTTTCTTTTCTTCTTCTCTTTCTTATTTAATCAATAATCTTTTTCTTTCTTCTTCTCTTCCTTCTTTTCCTTTCTTTCTTCTTCTCTTCTTTCTTTCATCAATAGCTTTTCTTTCTTCTTTCTTCTTTCTTTCATCAATAATCTTTTCTTTCTTCTTCTCTTCCTTCTTTCATCAATAATCTTTTCTTTCTTCTTCTCTTCTTTCTTTCATCAATAAGCTTTTCTTTCTTCTTCTTCTCTTCCTTCTTTCATCAATAATCTTTTTTTCTTCTTCTCTTTCTTATTTAATCAATAAGCTTTTCTTTCTTCTTCTCTTCCTTCTTTCATCAATAATCTTTCCTTTCTTCTTCTCTTCCTTCTTTCATCAATAAGCTTTTCTTTCTTCTTCCTTCTTTTTCTTTCTTCTTCTCTTCCTTCTTTCATCAATAATCATTTTTCTTCTCTTCTTTCTTTCATCAATAAGCTTTTCTTTCTTCTTCTCTTCTTTCTTTCATCAATAAGCTTTTCTTTCTTCTTCTCTTCTCTTCTTTCATCAATAAGCTTTTCTTTCTTCTTCTCTTCCTTCTTTCATCAATAATCTTTCTTTCTTCTTCTCTTCCTTCTTTCATCAATAATCTTTTCTTTCTTCTTCTCTTCTTTCTTTCATCAATAAGCTTTTCTTTCTTCTTCTCTTCTTTCTTTTATCAATAAGCTTTTCTTTCTTCTTCTCTTTCTTATTTAATCAATAAGCTTTTCTTTCTTCTTCTCTTCCTTCTTTCATCAATAATATTTCCTTTATTCTTCTTTCTTTCATCAATAAGCTTTCCTTTCTTCTTCTCTTCCTTCTTTCATCAATAAGCTTTTCTTTCTTCTTCTCTTCTTTCTTTCATCAATAATCCTTCTCTTCCCTCTTTCATTCTTTTTCTCTTTCTTTTCTTTCTTTCATCAATAATCTTTTCTTTCTTCTTCTCTTCCTTCTTTCATCAATAAGCTTTTCTTTCTTCTTCTCTTCTTTCTTTCATCAATAAGCTTTTCTTTCTTCTTCTCTTCCTTCTTTCATCAATAATCTTTCCTTTCTTCTTCTATTCCTTCTTTCATCAATAAGTTTTTCTTTCTTCTTCTCTTCCTTCTTTCATCAATAATCTTTCCTTTCTTCTTCTCTTCTTTCTTTTTCATCAATAAATTCTCTTTTCTTCTTTCTTTTCTTCTCTTCTTTCTTTCATCAATAAGCTTTCCTTTCATTTATTCTCTTCCTTCTTTTTCTTCTTTCTTCTTCTTCTTTTTTATCAATAATCTTTTTCTTTCATTCTTCTCTTCCTTTTTCATCAATAATCTTTCTTTCTTCTTCTTTTTTCTTTCTTCTTCTCTTTCTTCTTTAATCAATAATCTTTTCTTTCTTCTTCTCTTCCTTCTTTTCATCTTTTCTTTTTCTTCTTTTCTCTTTTCTTTCATCAATAGCTTTTCTTTTTCTTCTCTTCCTTCTTTTTCATTTCTTTTCTTTCTTCTTCTCTTCCTTTTTTTAATCAATAAGCTTTTCTTTCTTCTTCTCTTCCTTCTTTTCTAATCTTTCTTTCTTCTTCTCTTCCTTCTTTCATCAATAATCTTTTCTTTCTTCTTCTCTTCTTTTCTTTCATCAATAATCTTTTCTTTTCTTCTTCTCTTCCTTCTTTTATCAATAATCTTTCCTTTCTTTTTCTTCTTCTCTTTTCTTAATCTTCTTCTTCTTCTCTCTTATTTAATCAATAATCTTTTCTTTTCTTTCTTCTTTTCTCTTTTTTATTTTAATCAATAAGCTTTTTCTTTCTTTCTTCTCTTTTTTTTCATCAAT